GAATTGACCCCTTAATCATATAGTGACCCTCCTTCACTGCCAGTTTTACAGTCTTTGTAGTTTATCTTATCGGCTATGAGTACAGCTACTCTTGCTCTTTATTGTTTTCTAGTTGCATGGAATATCTTTTTCCAGCCCTTCTCCACTTTCAGTCTATATGTGTCTTTATAGGTGAAGTGGGTTTCTTGAAGGCAGCACATAGGTAGGTCTCATTTATTTATCCATTCAGCTACTCTATGGCTTTTAATTGAAGAACTGAGACAATTTACATAAAAACCCACAAAATAATTCTATAATTTAACTCCATCCTCCAACATTTTGTCTTTTAGTTGTATCAATTTACATATCTTTATATTATCTATTAACAGGTTGGTATAGTTTTGATACATTTATCTTTTGGGCTTCATACTAGAGTTTGAGTGGATTGCACACCATAAATACAGTTAACAAAGTATTCTGGGTTTGTCTGTGTACTTAATTTTACCAGTGGGTTTTATACCTTAAAAACTTTCCTTTTGCATGGTAGTGTTTTTTTCTTTCAGATTGAAGAACTCCCTTCCTCATTTCTTGCAAGATGGGTCTTGGTGGTGGTCAGTTTCCTTGGCTTTTGTTTATGCGTGAAAGACTTTAGCTCTCCTTTAAATTTGCATGACAATTTGTTGGACACAATATTCTTGGGTGTCAGTTTTTTGTTGTTTAAGTGCTTTGAAAATGTTGTTCTACTCCCTCCTGGCCAGCATGGTTTCTGTGGAGAAGTCTGTTGCTCCATGAATTGGAGCTCCTTTATCTGTTATTTGCTTCTTATCTCTCATTGCTTTTAGGATCTTCTCTGTCTTTGACCTTTGAGAGTTTGATTATAACATGCCTTGGAGTAGTCTTATTTGCACTGAATCTGTTTTGTGTTCTCAGGCCTTCCTTTACCTGGATATGTATATCTTTCTCATGTCTTGAAAAATTTTCTGTTATTATTTCTTTGAATAAGCTTCCTATGCCTTGCTCATGCTCGGCTCTCTCTTAAACACTAATAATTCTTAGATTTGGTCTTTTGGGGTAATTTTTTGTATCTTGTAGGCACTCTTCATTCCTTTTCCTTCTATTTATTTTTCTTCTCTGACTGTGTATTTTCAAATAGCCAGCTCACTGTTTGGTTCATTCCAGCTCCCCTGTTTGGTTCATTCTGCTATTAAGAACCTCTAAAGAGTTTTATAGTTCAGCAAATGTATTTCTCAGTTCCAGGATTTCTGTTTGACTTTTTTTATTATTTTAATCTCTTTGTTAAATTTCTCTGATAAATTTCTGAACTGCTTTTCTGTGTTATCTTGGAGATCACTGAGTTTCCTTAAAACTACTATTTAGAATTCTTGGTCCAAGAACTCACAAATTGCCACTTCATTAGAATCACTAAATTTCTGCTTTTTGTCCTTTTGGGAAGGTCATGGTTCCTTGTTTGCTGTAGTTTCTTGTGCGTATATGTCTATGTCTTTGCCTTGACGGATTAGTTATTTATTCCAGCTTGCTTTGTCCAGCTTGTTTTGGATTTTATTGAATATATCTGCTTAGCAAATCTTCACTGCTAGTTTGCTGCCTCCTTTTTGGCTCTAGGTGGTGCCTTCAACCTAGGTTCACATTGGAGCTAGTAAATGGTTTGACCACTGCCTGTCCCAAAACGGGGGAGGTCCCAAAGGGTTTAGGACAGCAGTTTGGGAGGACTAGCTAGGAGTTCACACCCAGGGAACCTGGGAAATGAACCTCCTACAACCACTCTCATTTGGCGCTTCCTTTGGCTGAGTTACAGAGCAGAGTTTCTGGGCTGGGGATTGTAGTCCAGCCTTGCTTGTTTGTCTCTGCCTGTCCTCGGGATATTTCTCCCTTCAGGCAGTCACAATACTACCCATCAGTTAAGGCAAGGACAGTTCTGACAGGGAACTGGCTGACCATTTCAATTTTGCTTTTTCCAGTACAGAAACTGTGAGTTGAGGGGAGATTTTCCGCACAGTTGGGGCCTGGCAGAATGGGAGGGAAGGGCATCGCACATGTGTAAGTGCAGTTCTCCTACCATCTGCTCAGAGTTTTTCCACCTCTCTTTGGCCTCAGGAAGTATCTCATCTAGCTTGAGCTCTGGGCTGTTGCTGGTGGAAAATCTTGTCACTGTATTTGTTTTTTGTTTTTGTTGGGGCAAAAGAAGCCAGCTTATTTTACACTGCCATTTTAGAACCAGAACCAATAAAGATTTTCTTTAAAGGACACAAAAGTTAGTAACCGAAAAGGGGGGTGAGGGAGAAGATACACACCTCCCCGCCGCAAACAAAGTTGGATTTCATAAAGAGCTACTTTTCATCTAAAGACATCATTAAGAGAGCAAAGGGGCAAGCTACAGAGTAGAAGATATACAAAGAATATGCCAGGCATAGTGGCTCACACCTGTAATCCTAGCCCTTTGGGAGGCTGAGGTGGGCAGAACACTTGAGCTCAGGAGTTCAAGGCTAGCCTGGGCAACATGGCAAAACCCTGTCTCTACAAAAAGTACAAAAATTAGCCAGGCATGGTGGCATGCACCTGTAGTCCCAGCTACTTGGGAGACTGAGAAGAGAGGATCGCTTGAGCCTGAGAGGTCAAGGCTGTAGTGAGGTGAGATTGCACCACTGCACTCCAGGCTGGGTGACAAAGTGAGACCCTGTCTTACATACAAAAAAATGTATACAAGGAACGCCTTAAAAAATATGACAGATAACCCAACAGAAAGTAAACATATGAAGATACTTAACTTCTTAGTTATCAGGAAAATTAAAAATAAAACCTCAACATGATACCACTACATACCCCACAAAATGACTGAAATGAAAAAGACAGACAATAACAAGAATTGTTGAGCATATAGAACAACAGGAATCCTCATATATTGTTAGTAATAATGTATATTGGTATAACTCCTTTAGAAAACTACTTAGCAGTTTCTCCTGAAGCCAAAGAGATATAAATATATATCCCAAGTAATTCTACTCCACACTATGTACCTAACAGAATATGTGCATACCTTCATCAAAAGGCATATATGTGGCAGCCCTATTTGTAATAGATAAAAACTAGAAAACCAGGTCAGGTGTGGTGGCTCATGCTTGTAATCCCAGCACTTTCAGAGGCCGAGGTGGGAGGATTACTGGAAGTCAGGAGTGAGACCAGCCTGGCCAACATGGTAAAATCCTGTCCCCACTAAAAGTACAAAAATTAGCCAAGCAGAGTGGTGAGTGCCCATAATCCCAACTACTTGGGAGGCTAAGGCAGGAGGATCACTTGAACCCTGGAGTTGGAGGTTGCAGTGAGCCGAGATCGTGCCACTGCACTCCAGCTTGGGTGACAGAGCAAGACTCTGTCTCAAAAAAACACACTGGAAAACCAACAAAATGTTCACCATAAGAAAAATGGATACATTGTAGTATAATCATATAATGGAATACTATACAGCAATGAGAACAAATAATTCACAACTACATACAGCAATACGGATGAATCTCACAAACGTAATGCTGGGCAAAAGAAGACAGAGACAAACATACATACTGTATAATTTCATTATATGAAGTTCAAAACCGTGCAAAATTAATCAGTTTATAATTAGAAGTCAGCATAATATTTATCCTTGGGTAGGTGTTGGGTAGTGGGTAATGACTAGAAAGGGACACAAGGAAGTATCTGAGATGTTGGTAATATTCTGTTTCTTGTTCTGGGTATTTGTTACACAACAGTGTTCACTTGGTGAAAATCCACTATGTCTGAATGTGTATAATATAATTCCAACAAAAGTTCACTTAAAAACACACAACACGATTTTTTGGAGGATAAGTTGATACTTGATTTGCATATCTATATGAAACAATATGTGCATAATGACAACATACTTTTGAAAAACTACTAAGGATCTAATAAACAACAAAATTTACTATTTTAAAATTATAACAATTAAAATGTATTGGTACAAAATGGTAGTAACACACATAATAGGCAAGTCAATGGAACTAACTATAATGAATAGAAAGTGATACAGTAAATATGAGTGTTTTTTACTATGGCATAGATAGCATTTCAATAAATAAGTACGTTTACTTGTACACTTAAGTAAATGCATTAAATCTATAAGTTATATATAATAGAAAGAACATTTCTAAAAGAGATAAGAGGATTTTGGTCAATGCTATCAATCCATTCAATCATTTTGCCTTTTTGAGCGTCACTGACTGACTTGTAAAATAATAGATTTGAAATAGGGTGCTTTCTATAACTTGTAATCAAATTAATCAAAAATAAGAATTGTGGACAGGAGGAGAAGAGCAAAGACAAAAGTTAATTTTTTTTGTTTGTTTTGTTTTTGAGACGGAGTCTCGCTCTGTCACCCAGGCTGGAGTGCAGTGACGCAATCTCGGCTCACTGCAAGCTCTGCCTCCTGAGTTCACGCCATTCTCCGGCCTCAGCCTCCTGAGTAGCTGGGATTACAGGCGCCCGCCACCACACCTGGCTAATTTTTTGTATTTTTAGTAGAGATGGGGTTTCACTGTGTTAGCCAGGATGGTCTTGATCTCCTGACCTCGTGATCCTCCCACCTCAGCCTCCCAAAGTGCTGGGATTACAGACATGAGCCATCATGCCCGGCCAGCCGACAAAAGTTAATTTTAAAGATTAGGACAGTACACAAGATAATAAAGGTAGAAACAGTCATCAGATTTACCCAGGAGAAATCAATACGAGGCCAGGTGTGAACTAGATGAAAAGAAAAAAAGAACTGTAAAGTGGCAAGACATTACAAATAAACCTGGTTTGGGGATTGAGTGTTAAGTTTCCTCGAATTCCTAGAGAAACAACCTATAGCAAGACACTACAAACTACCTCATTTCTACCTTAGTAGATAACTACAGGTTGATGATCCTGAACATTGTACAATACAAACACTAATTGTGTTATATAAAATCTATATACTCGGAACTAGTGTAATTCAAGCCCATATTTACCTTGCAAATGGAAGACGCATCAACTTGCACTGTTTACTATTTCGTTTCTTCTTGCTAGCTGACAGTAGAAAGGAACTCTGATGGAACTATTTTTGAAAAGAATAAAGAAAACAGAAAGTTTCTAACCTTATTAAATCATGTTAGTTATCACAGTACCAAATTATACAATGACATTAATAGTAAAAGAACATTTCTTGCATTTGCCTTTAATAGTTTAATGAGAATAATGTGATAAGGGTAAAACACAGCTCATCCTTAATCATGCCAACGAAAGATAATCACTGCCAATATTTTGGTAAATAACCTCAACATTCCTCCATGTGTAGGAATAAATACATGACTATACCTACACAAATACAATATCTTTACATACATGCAATATGTTCATGTCTATGTATGTGTTATGTAATATTTTATTGAATTTTATAATACATCTTTTAAATGGCCTTTTAAAATTCAAAATCTGGGTGATTTTAATATATCTTTTATATATTTGCTTATCCACATTTCTAAATTTTCAGATACAAACATGTTTTTAATTATTAATAAAGATCAGAAAATTAGGCAACACACAACCATGTTTCTTATTACAGAGCTAAGCTGTAATAGAAACAAGGGAATGGCGCCAAATTATCAAGCTGATTTTAAAATTCATATGAAAATGCAAAAGACCTAGAATAGCTAAAAAAACAAAACAAAACAAAAAAAACTTTGAAAAAGAAAAAAGTTAGGAGGGTTACAGTAATTGAGACAGTATAGTATTAGCATAATGATAGACAAATAGATCAATGACATAGAACAGAGAGTCCAGAAATGGATTCACATATATTTGGCCAATTAATTTTTGACAAAAGCACAAAGGTCAAACGGGGAACCTAAACTTCCACACTCACCAGGCTATAAGACGACAACTCTCTTCCAAATCTGGGGTACCATCAAAAAAGGCTTGGGACAGCCAGTGTTAGGAGTACATCCCCGCCCAGCAATGTCACTGGAGGACATATTTGGATCTCTATCCTGTTTCATATTCTTTTTATGAGATGGTCAGTTGGGTGCAGCCATTAAAAGAAGGCAGAGACTCAGGAAAAAAATAAAATGTATTATACTCACAGGTCCTAGAGACAAGAGGTACAGCAGGCCATGCAGAGCCACACAGAAAAGACACTAGGATGGTCAGGAGGCAGAAGATGGGAACGAGGGGAAGGTTTAGGCCAGAGCCTATTATCAGAGTTTCCACAGGAAAGGCAAGGCAGGGCAGGGTGAATAGTCTAGAATTGGCTAGTTTGAATAATTCTGGCAGGCTCTAAGACACAGGAGAGGTAGGTCCCTGGTTGCCTAGTACCTGACCCAGGGACAATTAAAGCAGAGGACCATTGCCTCCTGAGATATAAGGGCCAGACAGGGGAGGTATGGCTCTGGATTAGTTAGCTTGCATATCAAAAGTGCTATGGTTTGAATGTCTCCTCCAAAACTCATGTTGAAACTGAATTACCATTGTGAAGGTATTAAGAGGCAGGACCTTTAAGAGGTAATTACGTCATGAGGGCTCTGCCCTCACGACTCGATTAATGCTGTTATTGCAGGAGTGGGTTAGTTATAGGAGTCTGGTCTCCTTTTCTGTCTTGCATGCTTTCTCGCCCTTCCACCTTCTATCATGGGATGACACATGCCAGATGTCAGCATCATGCTCTTGGACTTCCCAGCCTCCAGAACTGTGAACCAAATGAATCTCTGTTCTTTATAAATTACCCAGTCTTTTTAGAGAATGAAATCTCAAATGAAAACAAGAAAAGAAAATGATAAATTACCCTGTATGTGGTATTCTGTTATAGCAGCAGAAAACAGACTAAAACAAAAGACAAGCTCCTGGCTGGTCCCTTGCTATCTCTAAAAATTGGCTAGCCCTGAGAAGGGCAGTGTCTCCAGCCAATAATATTTTAAAAGATGTAAAAACATCATAATACACAGAAAATAAAATGTATATATGCTATACATCCCCATTCAGTGATAGGAAGGAGTTCCCCTCTCTCTCCTCTATGGTGGGGATAGAAGTGGTTTAATAAAGAACTAAGATTTTCATCACTCTTCAGGAGTAACAACCTCCCCCCCTTCATTATCCTCCTCATCTTCATGTCAGCAGAGGCCATGAAAGTAATGAGGTGCCCTTCCCTGTTCCAGCCACAGTGGTGTCAGCCTGAACTCCCAGCTCCATTCATCAGTTATGCCCACCACAGCGTTGTCAACAGAGGCTGAATGGGAAGTCTAAACTTCAGTACCCACTTGGCAGTAGGCGGCACCTCCCCTTACCACCAGTGTAGTGTCAAAGGAGGTCTCCTTAAACAGAAGATGGAAATAAGATCCAATGTCTTATAATGCACCTAAAATGTCGCAAGATACAATCGAAAATCAATCACTCGTCATGCCAAAAATCAGGTAACTCTAAATTTGAATGAGAAAGGACAACAGATACCAACACTGAGATGACACAAATGTTAGAATTATCTGACGAAGATTTTAAAAAAGGTATCATAAAAATGCTTCAACAAGCAATTACTAACATGCTTAAAACAAATGAAAAAATGGAACATCGCAGCAAACAAACAGATGTAAAGAGCCAAATGGAGCTCAGAACTGAAAAATGTAATAACCAAATAAAACAAATTAAATGGGCTCAAGAGCAAAACCAAGAAAACAAAAGGGGGAAAAATCTGTGAACTTGGAGATAGAAGAAGCTGAGTGAAACCCTCAAAAGAATAAACCCAGGGAAATTCATGGCCAAAAACACATCAAAGGGGGTCAGAAATTCTCAGAAACTAAAGGGACAATTTAAAAAATTGGAATCAGTATTTGAGAGAGAATGCATTCTTAACCTACAGTTAACAATAAAAAAAAGCAATTGGACTCAAAGTTAAGAAAAGTCCTAACAAGAACCACCCAAAAGGCAAAACTAACTTATTTAAAAATAAAAGCCAAAAAATGTTTAAACACATCAAACATTAAATAAATGAAAGATGGTTCTTTTAGAAAAAGGAATAAAATACAATAGAAAAAACCACAACAAAGCCTAAAGATAGTGGGAGGGGGCCCGTGGTGGGGGGGGGGG